TATTTCTATGATGTATATTTCTATGATGTATATTTTATGATAAAAACAGGAAGCATGAGAACCTAAGAGCCCTGCCCTGCCCCAATGTGGTACAGAAAATCCATCTTGGTAATAAACAGCAGCTGTGATTGGGGAGGCAATGAATTCAGTCTTTGTCCAGTTATCCAGAAGTCCTTTGATACCCAGGGCGATCCCTAGGCCCTGAAGCGAATTCTGTCTTAAAGGAAGAAAGCTCAGACTCCTTGCCCCAGGCAATGTCAGCATCAAAATTTGGTGGGGGCAGGTAGGTTGATGAGGCTCAGTTTCCTGACCTTTACCCCACACCCATGTGGGGGAGCCTTGAAAACACAGGTTCCTCTCTGCAGCCTGCCCTGCCCTGCACTTTAATAATGAAACACAAACACGAAAGGCAGGGAGGGGAGTGATCAGGGTTTCTAAGCACTTAGCAGTGGGTGCTGCCTTTCTGCATTAGCGCAGGGAGGGAGGTCTTCTTGGGTGAGAGGGAGTCCCTGCAGGCTGCCAATGAAAGGTTGGAAGCTTGAGTCCACCTAGGGGTGCCTTGGAGGAAAGCCAGCCCTTAGAAGTCCTCTGGATACAGTTCCACTCTGACACTCTTGAGGTGGGGAATTAACTCTATGGTGTCAGGTGGTTTTATTTGGGGTGTGGGAGTACCGTGCAGGTAGTGGATGCTGCTGGGGGCTGGGATAAGGTGAGAAGAAGGCCTGAGGTGGGGGACAAGGAGGAGAACCCTGATAGTGTAGTAGTTACGAATCAGATTGCAAACCCCAAGGTCAGCAGTTCGAGACTATCAGCTGTTCCGCGGGAGAAAGTGAAGCTTTCTCATCTTTCCTCAAGGAGGAGAGAGCCTCCCAAGGAAGGACCTGGTGGTCCCAGCCTCCTCTCCTCCCCCTAAGCAAGTCTGGAGCGTACTTTTCTGGAATCACAGTGCATTAGAAGGGTGCAGAGGTGGGGAGATTTGGGCCCTATGTGGGTAGAAAATGTTCTGGTCTGAGGCTGGCAAAGGGCCACTGGGGCCCCTTGAACCTCACTTCTAGCAACTCATCTTGCCCTCAGGAGCTTGTGGGAAGCTGTCCTGCAGGAGGATGGCGCCTACTGCCCGGTGCAGCTCACACCTGCTCCCAGGCCCTGAGGGTACCTCTGCCCTGAGCCTAGGGGAGTCTGCCAGAGGAGCCTCACTACCTTCTGAGATGACCCACCTGGTCTCTCAGAGTCCCTATAGGTAGTGCTGGGTGTGACAGCCCCATCTCTGCTCCTGGGATTCGTTGACTGGCTTTGTGGGGTGGGATGGGGATCACAACCCTGGACTCACAGAGGTCCTCACGTTCGTGGAGAAGCGACCTTGCTGGGACCATTCCAGCAGTGGGGGCCAGTGACTGGGAGTGGACAGGAGGCATGGGAGCTGGTGCCATCGGGGGTAAGGCCAGGGGAGCTCCAGGTCTGTGGGGAGAATGCCCACGTGGGGCTGGAGGCAGAGTATGAGGTCCAGTGAAGACAGGACCCTCCCTCATCCCCGGGCCCTCTGCGGAGAAGGGTGAGTGAGGCCCAACAGTCACGTGTTCAGACCCCAGCGCCTCTGCCCTGTTCTCTCACTCTCTCTCAGGCTCCTGGTATGAGCAGGCTACCTCAGGGGGCCTGGGCCCCCGTGCTGGATACCAGGAGCCTGAGATGGGCTTCTCTTGTGGGGCTGGTGGAGCAGGGTGCAGCCAGGCACCTTCCAGCTCTGTTGTGGCTGACACTGCTGTCCTGAGAGATGGCCCCAGGCCCTGCTGGGGAGGAAGTGAGTGAGATAGAGGGAGACCAGCCCCTGCTCAGGGTCTTGGTCCAGGGTGTCTCAGAGCAGAAGGACCATCTGGACGGGGGGGGGTCCCGTTCCCTGTAAGGAGGAGGTGGGTGATGGTGACACTCAGGCTGGGGTAGAAAGAGCACGGGCACAAATTCACAGGGGCTACATGAACTGACCACCACGCCCACTGGCTGAGGAGTAGCTGGACCCCACTAGGATGGGGAGCAGGCACACCGGAGTGGACAGGCCACAGAAAGGGCAGGAGCGTGCAGGAAGTTGACAGAACCACTGGGGGCAGCAGTGGATTTCAGGGTCCAGGTGGGCTGCATGCACAGACTGGCTACTCGGGGACCCCAGACACCCTGGGACACCCTCCCTGTAGGACAGAGTGACCAGAGACAGGACAGGACCCTGCCTGCTTTGAGATATAAAATGTTTATTAATACACATTTGACTTGTCTTTTATAAAACTTCCTTTGGCTGCACCGGGCCACTGCGCTTGGAAGAGGGCTCCCAGGGCCTGTCCAGGAAGCAACCTGGAGTCCAGAGGCTCGGCTGAGGGGCACTGTGGATGGCCCCAGGTGGGCACCAGCTGGGTCACATTTGTCCTTGGAGGCCATCCAGCTTGTTCAAGCCCCAGGGTGGGGACAGGAATGTCTCATTAATGGGTCCCTGGGGGTTTTCAGGCAGACAAAGCTAGGAGGGGGCTCACTGAACCCCTCCACGCAGCACTTTCTGCTCAGGTGTTGCTCTGAGCAGGTGGAGTTAGAGCAGGGGCCCAGACAAACAGAGGGACGAAAATCTGACCGGACAGGGGCGGCACTGGTTGTACCATTTCCAAAGGGGCAGCAGGTGATGGACTGGATGGTCCAGCCTCTTCCCACTGCCTAGCCTGAGGCTAGACGGGGGTCTGCCACTTGGACTAACTTCCATACAGAGAGACCTGGCTTTCGGGGAGCCTGAAGGGACCACAGGGTGTGTTTACTAAGACCACTCAGTCCCTCAGCCACTCTGGAGCCTCCAGTCCCGGGGAGGGAGTCATGGGGGCCAGACACATAACTTTCTCCTTGCAGGTGGGCTCCTCTGGGTCAGCAGTCCTGTTCCTGTCTGGTGGTGGGAGGTTCTCAGGGGCTCCCCCAGGACTCACCCTGCCCCTAGTCCTCTCCAGGTGCTACCTCTCAGGAGGGGTACCCAGGGGGAGCCTGCATCTCCATGGTGACCGTGTTGGGTGTGCCGCTTCCTGTCTCGCCCAGTTCGGCCCCATCTCGCAGGGCCCGCTGGAAGACCACCCTCAGCGGTTCCCACAGCCTCTGCGACTTGTCCCTTCCAGCCAGGAAGTAGACGACAGGCTTGGCGCTGCTGTTGATGCAGAGACACAGGTCGGTGACGTATTCAGGGAAGGGCGCCGGAATCCGGAAGACCCAGAAGAGGAACCAATCAATACCCAGGTAGATGGAGGATACGAGGAAGACACCCACCATGGCCAGGATGACGTGGTTGAGTTTGGCGGAGCGTTGGCGTCGCCGGGTCCGGCACTCAACGTGCAGGATGAGGGCCAGGCAGGGCAGTACCATGAGTGGGCAGTACACCAGGAAGACCAGGATGCCCAGGAAGACGTCCATGTGCATGCAGGCCTGCCCTGCGGCCTCGCGGCCCAGGAAGACGCAGAAGTAGTTGTGGATGCTGGTGACCAAGAGTGACAAGACCCAGAGCAGGGCAGCCACCACGGCCGACAGGCGTCTGGAACGCTGGCGCCAGTACCAGGTGGGGAAGATGACGGACAGGCAGCGCTCTGTGCTGACAGCCGGCAGGAGGCTCACCCCAGCCAGGAAGGTGCACAGCCCCAGGGCCTGGGACACCACCCGCACGTAGTCTGCAAAGGTGCCCAGGAAGCCCCCTGTGTTCAGGGTGGACAGTACAGCCTTGCTGAAGAGGTAGCCCCCGTCAGCGCCGGCCAGGTGCAGGAAGTAGATGGAGAAGGGGCTGCTCTTGATGGAGAAGCCGAAGAACCAGAGCACCAGCCCGTTGCCTACCAGGCCGCACAGGCAGAACAGCAGGAAGATGTAGTGTACGATGACCGGTGGCGGCAACAGCGCCAACTGGTCGATGGTCAGGAAGCCGCGGCTGTACAGCTCCGGGGCCTCACTCACGCCGGGGCACACCTGTTCAGGGACAGAGGGGAGACACCCGGTGATGCTGGCGGGGCTCCTGAGTGGAGACTCAGGGTGGGCCAGGTTCTGGAGGACCACCAACTCTGGAGCAATGAATTGACTCTAACTTGGTGGCGTCCACAGTTAAGGACTCCATGCTGAGCTGAAAGGTTGTTGGTTTGAACCCACCCAGAGGCACCTCCCAGAACAGGCCTGGCATCTGTTCAGCGTGATGTGGGGTTGCCGTGAGTCAGAATCGATTCAAGGGCATCAAGAACGGAGCAGAAATGACCTCTGACCTCACACCATTCTAACTAATTATCCCAGCGTCTAGGACCCTCGGCATGAAATGGAGTATCTTCTGCAGTGGTGGGAAACAAGGCTCCGGCTACCCACCAGCCAGAAGAGACGCTGATTTTTATCTTTCCTTGTCGTAAGAGAGAAATGCACCATGAGCAACCTTTCCAGAAGAAACAAGATGAATGAGACAGAGCAGAGACCCATGGGGCTGGCTGTAAGCAGATGGTTATATCCTGGATCACAGTAGCGGTCATAAAGCACACCACTGTGAACTCAACATCACGTGTGATTTTCTGAATGTGGTCCTTGTACTGGAGTTCTGGTCAGGTTCTGTTCTTGTTGCTAAGAGCTGATGAGTCGATTCCAACTCATTGCAACTCGATATATAGGCTTTCCCAGGAGTGGCTGGTAGATTTGAATCATTAACTTTCACATAGCTGTCCAATGCTTATCCTACAGAATCTCGCCAGAACTCCTTGTTCTTGTTAAGTGCTGATGAGTCGATTCTGACTCACAGCGACCCTGTCTAGGGTTTCCGAGGAGCGGCTGGTGGGTTTGAACCGCCCTCCTTGTGATCCAGTGCTTATCCCACAGCGCCACACCAGGGCTTCCAAAATCCACAGCTGCTAACTCGATTCTGACTCATAGCACCCCTAGAGGACAGAATAAAACTACCCCATAGGGTTTCCAAGGCTGTTATCTTTATGGTGTGCGACAAGGTTGTGTTCTTTCACCATACTTATTCAACCTGTATGCTGAGCAAAGAATCCGAGAAGCTGGGTTCTATGAAGAAAAACGTGGCATCAGGATTGGAGGAAGACTCATTAACAACCTGCGATATGCAGATGATACAACCTTG